TGGCATCGGGTTTTGTAAATCTCCCTCCCGTCATCTTTAATTAGCATTAGTAATGCATTATCTGATTCTGTACTTTACTTGAAAACAAACCAGATGGTGTGCGCAGCACCAGAGAAATGTTCGATTGTTGGGCGTGGGGGGTTTTGGCTGAAAAGCAGAGCGGAAAAGGCTGGAATCTGCCGCGCCGATGATCTAATGGCTGTTGTTTCATCTCAGAGCAAGCAGGCACTGACAGTTCAGGGAAAAGGTGATTTATAGACCACAGTCACTGTCATGGCGTGTCGAAACTGGCTCACAGGAGATCTGAAGAGACGTGGGCGGAAAAAAAAAGAAGGGGAGGAACCTGCAAAACAATTTGAGAAAACAATGGAAATTGTTTTCTTTCGAAGAAAATGGGTCCGGTTCTCCAGATTCTTTGTTTTTCTTTCATCACTGGTCTATCGTGAGCAGCGATCATTTGCTGTTACTCATTCACACTGAGCACACGCACACACACACACACACACACACACGTATTGTGCTCGTAGTGGTCTAATGAAGCTGAGCCAGCGGTAGAATGCACCATCCAAGTGACCCATTTAAAAGGCTATTAACATAATGTGAGTTCAAGTAATTGCAAATTACTTGGAAACATTTGTGGAAACTCTCAGGACGGTTGAAAGTTTCAGATAAGGTCATTCTTCTAAATTCATATTTTATAAAGAATCCAAAGCAGCGACACACAGTCTGTAGTCACAGCTGAAAATGATTAAATTCAAAATGTCTGCAGAAAGCCACCAGCAGGAAGAACAGACTTTACCAGCTGTTTCTTTTCTTTCTTTCTTTCTTTTTTTTTCCCTCTCCAACCGGAAGACTGGTGGAAGCTGAGAAGGTGGATTTGTACGACACACAATCTATTAGAAGCCCCGCGGCTATCGTGCCATATGGTGGACTACTCCATGTGGGTTAGCAGAGGGTGGTGCCGCGCAGAACAGCTATTAGGTGGGCTTTGTCCTGTCTGGTCAAGCAAGCTGCGGCGTGAATGCTAACCGGGGATTATTTTATGGATGTAGCTCTGCACCGTGTTGGGAGCGGTTATCTCCTCAATTTCAGCGAGATCCAGTGTTTTGGATCATAATCAAACCAACTCCCTAATCATTTTTACCCTGTAGGTGTGAAATGATTCCTCTGACGGCCACTCGCAATGTGAAGGCTCCGTCGGCCTGGTAGTTGTTGGTGAGGAGGCCGCAAGTCTGTGCCAGATCGCTTCAGTGTGCATTGTCGGCGGAGTAGTCCAAAGACTGTCAGGTCCTATGAAACCACAGCCACGAATATCCCAGAGGAAAGAAAAAAAAGAGCAAGAATGAAGAGACTGGGGAGAGCAGAGAGAGACAGATATTGCCTGACATACTAAGCATTACCATAATTGGCTTTTCTACATGATGGAACAGAGGAAATAATAATGTCATTTTATTTACAGCCTTCTCTCCGCCGAAACACACACACACACACACACACAACCGCGCACATCGTACAGGTCAATGACACACACTGATCAGGCCTGTCCAAAGCCATCAGAGGTGAGTGGCAGGGAATGGAGGGGCCGGTGACAAAGCGAAACGGGGGAGAGAAATAAGGCTGCCACACCAGAGCTCCCATTTTGAAGGGCCACTAAACGGCGCCGGGCCCCGCCGGCCGCCCCGCTCCGAATGCGGCGCCCCGGCTACGCGAGGGTAAATCAGCGGGGTGAAAGCTGGCGGAATTGGACATTAGCACTGCAAATGAGAGCCGGGATTGCCCGCTTCGCCGAGACAACATGAATAAATGAAGACGGTTTAGAGGGGAAAGTTTGCGATTTTGTGTGGGTGGGTATGAAAGAGAAGTCTCGTTTCACCCTTTAGAGCCCGTCAGTGTGTCTGACAGCAGCCGAGGGTTGTTGGATTTGTCACTATAAGTTATTTTAACATTTTGTATAATGTAACTGTAAATTGAAAATTCAGTTTTAAGAATTCTTTCCACTGATTGGCATAGTTGGAAAGAACATGTATGTGTGTTTAGGCATTCTAGATAGTGTTGGATATTTTACTCTTTTGATAAATTCCTTTGAGGATTCATTTATTAATAATAATAATTAACATTTTACAAATATTGCCAAAATCGACTCAAACGTCACGTTCCTTAACAAAATTAGAACATAAAATTACTTAATTAACTTCTTGTGAAAAATTGGCAAAATAATTTAAATCCGTGTGTATCCAATTAGAAGGAAAAACACAAGCGTGTAAATCCAACCAGATCTTCAATGGCAACTTTTTGTACTTGTTGCTATGGACACATTTCAGTTAGAAAGCATTGAGGTTTTATAGCAACGTCTAGTACAGGCATGTTTGCATGATCAATGCGTGTGCATGCCCTTTAGTACAGAGGGATTTTTTTCCCCTCAACTTAGTCCCATTTGTTCTTTCAAATGTGTCTAAAAAGGAAGGTGTGTGTGTGTGTGTGTGTGTGTGTGTGTGTGTGTGTGTGTGTGTGGTGTCACCTGTCTGTAGCAAGAACCCCTGGACTCGTGGCACAATAGCGGCAGGCTCCTCTCCAGACGCAGATGGCCTTGACCCTCCCCCACCCCTCCCCCCGACAGCCACATTGCATCCCTGCATGCACCTGACACGCTATAACACTACACACAGCCCAGTGATCAGACACACGTATCCTACAAACACATATAAAACTTTGCACGCGCAGCATGAATTCCCTTCCTTCTCTCTCCTGGTTTTGTATTTCGTTTTTTGGAAGCAGTTAACTTGTTTCTCTGTCTTGTTTTTTTTTCTGTTACATATGCACTCACACACACACTCACACACACACACACTTCTTGTTCGCTGGCCTAAACACATCTTTTCTCCTCTCTTTTCAAAACTTCCCCTCTTCTCCCGATCCTCCCTGACAGCACAAAGTGGGCTTACGTTTTTGACTGACAACCACAACAGACACCTTCCCCCACTCCTCCCCTCCTCCCTTCCTCCCCTCCACCCTCGTTTTAATCCCCTCCCCTAGCCCTCGCTCCCACCCTCTCCTCTTCCTCTTTTGTTCTGAGTGACGCTCGAAAGCCGCTGTGTCAGCATCTTTTCCATCTCTGATTGCCTTATTAGCCGCCGGTGGCACCCGCAGCCTTTCTGACACAGATGGTGAAGGAGGAGGAGGTTGTGCAAAAAATAAATAAATAAATAAATGGCTGACTTGTATTTGTTGTTGTTACTTTCCCCTCCCACCTCTTCTCTGGCTTGTTTTGCGCGGACACGGACACCTCGGGCAGACGCTGACACACTCCTGACACTGATGCCTGTCAAGGCAACATACGGAGAATGGCAGGGAAAGACTAGAATTCTGTGTGTGTCGGTGTGTGTGCTGCTCACTGTGTCAGCTTGGCGGCTTTGTCTTTACTACACTCACCACGTTGATTTTGGAAAGGTCCGGTTTTAGCGTGTGTCTCAGCACGGTGGGCTGCACACGACGCCGGTTGAAAGAAAACTGCGGCGCAGCAAAAGTTTGCATTTGTTACTTGGCGACAGACTCAGATGAATGTTTTCAGAAGTGCCTGCGTGTTGTTACAAGGGCACAGTGAGGAGAAAACAACCCCGCTAACGAATAGTTTAATTAAGAGGAATGCTGTACATTTCAGCACGTCAATTCTCTCTCACACACATACACACACACACACACACACACACACACACACACACACACATGCAGACTTTTACACGCATACAACGCTGAGAGTTGCAGCTGTTGGACCTCCAGCTTTTCCCAGGCAGTAACTGGCACCTCGCAGACATCAGGTATTATGTCCATTCCGATTATGGGATAGAGAGCTACATGCTGTTTGAAGCTGACAGCACATCTGCCTCCTCACTGGAGACCGATTCTGGCACCTCAGACAAGCATCTTACGAGGAATGGATTGGGGGGAGCTGCCTTGGCGTGTTTAACCCTCCAGTTCTCGCTCTCCTTTCTTCTCTGCAACGTTTCTCCTCCCAATGTGGTTCCAGCATCATTTGCAAAGCGTTTCACTTTTCCCCTTTTCTAGCAAATGATTCCTTTTTAAAAGACATCATTTTTTTATATTGGTCATATTATTTTTACAATACAAACCATTTGTGGAAGTTGTTTATCTGCTGAGAGCGGTCAGCCATTTCCCACTGACACTATGACTCCCTCTCTCCTTTTAAAATGGCACACTTGAAGCCGTGAGCACTCTGGGAGCATAGACAGTAACAACACGGCTTGTCATGTCCGCTGGCCGTTTCCTTGCATCACGCTGTGAGGACTTCCACAGCCGATGCCAAGTTGACTCCGGCCAACCACGGCTCGGCAAGGCTGATGCAGCTGGCATTTTTCTCCACTATCTCTTTTACTTGTGAATCCATAGTATTTGTGGCGGAATAGAGCAAATCAATGTCAGACACGGATCTGTGGTCACTGTACAGCATCCAAATAGACCATGAAATACGCTGCACAGAGGCTGGTAAATGCTGTGGCTTTTCAATTTGCTGACTAGGGTTTTAAATATTTCTATATTGGATGAATTGTGAAAAGGGGGAAAAAAGTCTGCATTTGTGTTGGGAAGATCTCACCTCATTGATTAATAAGTATCATCAGCGCTGAGTATTTGTTCTTTGTATGATCTAAAATGTTGCTTGTGTCGAGTTTTTAAACCAAGCCGGAACACTGCTGTGGCTCATCTCTGCTCTCTTCCCTGGCGGAGCTGTAGTGTTCAATAGCTTCATTAGGCAGCGCGGTGAAGAGGACTATTTGTCATTGTCAAGATATGGATGTTTGCCACTTTATTGTTGCAAAATCCTCTGCTCTGCTGGGAAAATGGAGAAATCTCTTTAGGATTATTACAGATACCTTGATATAGTAAGGGCGGTAGATGCATAATTGGTGGTGTTCTATTCAAAATGTATCCGAAAACTCTGCAAAGCAATTTCTAATGGCACTTTCTACTCTTTTTGTGTTTTCTAGCTTATGGATCTGAGGACGAGTTCAAAGGGGATGCGATCGATGAAGAGGAACATCTACAAGATGATGGCCTTTCTCTGGATGGTCAGGAAGACGCAGACTATCTTTTCAACGATGACGAGGAAGCAGGTGACCAGTACAGCTGCCAGAACTCTCCAATCAGCAATGGCACTAACCCAGACGCTGGGTATGCCTCTCCACTCAGCACCACCAGTGATCATCTGGTGGACCTAAAGACCCCGTCTTCCTCCACTGATCAGGACAAGGTAGAGGAGAAGCATGGGGAGAGCACAGAGTCCATCAATGGCCTCTCTCTACAGGACAGTCTGTCCAAAATGAAAACTGTCTATGCAAACCTGATCTCTGATGCCTCCTGGTCCAGCATTGCTCTGGACATGCTCAAAAGTAAACAAGGGAACAATTACGCAGCCAGCAATGGCAATGGCAGCACTCACAAAGGGAGCAACGGGCTCCTGGACAGTCACAGCCCAGTCAACATCCATTTAAAAAGCAGATGTAGCACTAGCAATGCCTCAGCCTCCGCTAACATTACCATCAGCAGCGCCAGCACCAGAGCAGTGTCGAGCAACAGCGGCACCAGCGTGAGCTCTGGAACCACAGGGGGATTGGCTTATGACTGGCACCAGGCAGCGCTGGCCAAAACCTTACAGCATACCCCGTACCAGCTGCTTCCTGAGCCCAGCCTTTTCAGTACCGTGCAGCTTTACAGGCAAAACAACAAGCTCTATGGCCCCGTGTTTACGGGTGCCAGCAAGTTCAGGTGCAAGGACTGCAGCGGCGCCTACGACACCTTGGTTGGCCTGACGGTGCACATGAACGAGACGGGCCACTACCGCGATGACAATAAGGACGCGGAGGACGATCGCAGCAGAAGGTGGTCCAAGCCACGTAAGCGGTCTCTGCTGGAGATGGAAGGCAAAGAAGATGCCCAGAAAGTTCTTAAGTGCATGTACTGTGGCCACTCGTTTGAATCCTTGCAAGACCTCAGTGTTCATATGATCAAAACAAAACACTATCAGAAAGTGCCTCTAAAAGAACCGATGCCTGCCCTCACCTCAAAGCTGGTACCCCCAACCAAAAAAAGAGCATTTCAAGACTTGATGTCCCCAAGCTCGCCAGAGTCCGTCTCATCTGGTATACTGTTGGGAGAGTCTCCCAAAGACCAAAAAGTGGCCAATCCTTACGTCACTCCCAACAACCGATACGGTTACCAAAATGGCGCCAGTTACACTTGGCAGTTTGAGGCACGCAAGGCCCAAATTCTCAAATGCATGGAATGCGGTAGCTCACATGACACCCTGCAGCAACTGACAGCACATATGATGGTCACAGGGCACTTTCTCAAAGTGACCAATTCAGCCTCTAAAAAGGGTAAGCAGTTAGTTTTTGAACCTGTTATTGAGGAGAAATTTCAGTCAATTCCTCTGCCACCGACTACAACACGACTCCCAGCTCCGAATGGGAAGTCCCAGCCCGACTCCCCATTGCAGCCCACTAACCCTGAGGAGAAAAACGAAGAAGCAAAGGATGACGAGGCTGAGGATGAGAAAATGGAAGGTACGGAACCAGAGAAACAAATAAAAGAGGAGCGAGAAGATCCTCCTGAAAAAGGAGACAAGCCCAGAAAGGCCGGATCGTACCAATATCTGAGAGAAGAAGACTTGGAAGAGGCCCCGAAAGGCGGTTTGGACATCCTGAAGTCTTTGGAAAATACAGTATCAAGTGCAATCAGCAAGGCCCAAACAGGCACACCAACGTGGGGTGGATACCCCAGCATTCATGCTGCCTACCAACTCCATGGATCCTTGAAGTCTTCCTTGCCCTCCTTTGCACAGGTCCAACCTTTATTCAGCAGCAAGGGTTTGAAGGTACTGTCTTCTGAATTAAACACTCTGATCCATTCACCAAACAGCCCCTCGCCACCCCCAAGTCACAAGAGCAATGTGTTGGCCATGGAAGAGCTGGTTGAGAAAGTGACAGGTAAAACTTCAGTGAAAAGTGAAAAAGAGGAAAAGCCCATACAAAGCAAGTGCAGGTCTCTAAAGTCTCCATTGCCAAATCCTAAAGACAAACGGTTTTCACCCAATCCTGAAAAAAGCTTACGGGCAGTGAAGCATACTGTAGTAGAAGACCAGCCTGGGTTGAGAGGTAGAGAAGGCGAGCAGACAGCGAGTAAAAAAGAGAGGGAGATAAAAAGTGAAGGCAATTCACCAAAAAAAACTGTCAGCAATGGCTGTAATATCCTGAGCATCATAACTGATCACTCACCTGAACAACCACTGGTCAACCCTCTCTGTGCTTTGCAGTCCATTATGAACAACCACTTGGGAAAAGCTGCAAAAGTGGCCACCCCCTTCGTAGACCCTTTTGCAATGCTTTATAAAATCAACAGCACCTCTGCCCAGGTCAAGTCAGCTGAGCCTGTGAGTCAGTACTGCGATGATGATGATGATCAGCCCATTGACTTGACGAAATCCAAAAACACCAACGGAAGTACACCGACGGTTGCTTCTGCACCAAACAACAATGGCAGCGTAAACAACAACAACAAACCAGCTTCCAAAGATTTCTCCCTGTCGTCATCGCCGCTCCTTCGGGAGAATGCTTTGATGGATATTTCAGACATGGTAAAAAACCTGACGGGCCGCCTGACACCAAAGTCCACGACCGCTTCTTCCATCTCTGAGAAATCTGACCTGGATGGCTGTACTTTTGAGGACAGCTCTGAGGAACTGTCTCCCATCCAAAGACGGAAGGGCCGACAGTCAAACTGGAATCCGCAGCACCTCCTGATCCTCCAGGCCCAGTTTGTCTCTAGTCTCAGAGAGGCCGCTGACGGGAAGTTGGTGGTTAGTGACTTGGGGCCCCAGGAACGGGTCCACATCTGTAAATTCACTGGTCTCTCCATGACTACTATCTCACATTGGCTGGCCAATGTAAAATACCAGTTAAAGCGAACAGGGGGAACAAAGTTCCTGAAGAACATTGAGTCTGGTCAACCTCTGTTTCTGTGCGGTGACTGTGCTTCCCAGTTCAGGACTCCTTCCTCCTACATTCACCATTTGGAGTCCCACCTTGGGTTCACCCTGAAGGACCTCTCAAAGCTTTCCATAGATTTAATTGAGCAGCAAGCAGTCAGCAGAATAGAGGACAAGACTTTTAGCACCTCTGGACATACAGAAGACGACGCTGGCTCAATATATCTGTGCAAACTTTGCAATCGGACATTTGTGAGCAAACATGCAATCAAATTGCACCTTTGCAAAACACACGGGAAGTCGCCTGAGGACCATCTTATCTTTGTGAGGGAGTTGGAGAAGATTGATAAACAATGAAGAAGCTGATAGCATGACAGATTGTTGACATACTGTTGCACTATAACTCTGAGCTACAATCTGTCATAACAGATGGTGCCGCAACCGTATTGACACATATCGTAATGACAACGTGGTTGATACTGTACACTATATTCAGTTGTTCATAAATGAAAGGACCTCGCGCTGCAAAGGCTTGAAGCTAAGTTGTAAAAGTAGTTCTTTTTTTTGGTGACATAGACGTACCAAATAGTTGCAGCAGCCACAGCACTACATGGTCACTGACTGACTGTTGCTTTCCTAATGCACTGCATCTGATCTGAGCCTTTGGGAAAAGTCCATCTGTTGATTAAAACTGGACCACGCTCTTATTTTGAACACTGATTTTCAATGATTTTTTTCGAAATGAATATAGAACACAACTTGCTTATTATTTATGAGACAGTTTCTGCATGTTTATGTAAACAGTGAGCATATTATGTCAAATACAAGATTGATATCCTTTTTCTTTCTCAAATAGCAGGCGTAGCTGTTAAAATGAAGGTAACTGGTTATGAAAGTAGCCGTGCGAAAGGTGATGTTTATAAAATGAGATGATTTCAGCACTTTAAGGAAGTGTAAATTGATGAAGAAATGTGCTGTAAAAATGACACATCAACTTTTAATTTTGTATCTCTTGATCAACATTGCAATTTGGGGGACTATAATATTATTTTGTATTTGTCATTAAATCCCAGCAATTCATACAAAATATTTAGAATATTGGTCAAATATGAGTTCCTGGTTGTTTCAACATGTACAGTATTTGCGTTAGTAGGCTACCAATTTTATTATTGTGAAGCTACAGTTGTAAAATGAATGAAGTTTAAAGTTATTGTATGAATAATCAGCAAGTATGTATACATGTGTGTCAGCATATCTTGCTCTTTACAGTTCAACATTATTTGTACTGTGTGCATTTTTATAATGTTATTTTCTAGACAAATATGGGGGGAAATGTATAAACTACAGAGTATTGTTGGACCACGATGTCCTTTTTCAGTGAAAAGTAGGTCCTTTGATGAGGTCTACATAAAATGACAGACTTTTAATGGCCTCCGCTCTGATGCACGGTCCTGTAAATAACCTTGAAGGAATAAATTCTCACCCAATGATAGATTTTCAGGTTTTGTCATCAACCCGGTTATTCAGAATGGAATTCTTTTATCCTCAGTTGTAAAATAAACTCCTAGTCATGGATTAACTTGTGGTATTGATTGATTGTTTTTGGGAGAGTGAAATCCATGCAGACTGAAACACAAAATCTGACTTCTTTAGACGGTATTTTGCCATTTTTTTTGGATTTATAAAAGGATCATATGGGGAATATACTGCAATCATATATCACCTTTTAACGTTCTCTGGATGTATTAATAAAATATTTTCGAGGGCGTCAAAGGGCGTGGGGTTCCATCAGCTCTGGGCACTTGAAGGGAGGAGCACTGTTCAATGCCGGGTTTTTTTTCGGCTGGACTTCTTACAATGCACCAACCGAGCCACCTTCTTGACTGGCTTTATGTAACTAAACATGGAGACAGCCATATCAAATCCTGTAAGTTTCTGTCCTACAAAGGACTCCAGGTCGCACCAAGCGAGCAGCAGCTTTCCCGCTGTGAGCCACAGCGCTTCTTAATCTGAGCATCTTTCATAAGCGCTGTGGTTTTGAAACCGTGTGCCCAGCAAAAGGTTTCAGAAATCGCCCCGCAGAGTGGTGATCTCTGACTGACACGGCTTCGAGCTCACCCTCGAGGGTTTGAGTACACTGCTGTGCTGTTGAAACAAAGCTGGCCGGCTGAAAGCTCTAAAGAACGATCCTCTGGGTCCTTTGCCTGACGGATACAATCAACAACATTACCTAACTATAGCAGGGGCCCGATCCATAAATATAAACGTTTAAATGTTTCAATTCTTCACAGAAATTTGACACAAATCCATTTATTTCAGGCATCTACATGTTTGATGAGTCTTATTGGCAGCATCTGTCAGACATACAGCGTATAATCAGCAACCCCAGACAAATAGCAATGTTTTGTTGTCGCCCTCTGATACCGACGCTCAACCCTTCAGGATCTTTATCAGAAGCAGGAGGCTTTAAATATGCAAAGCTTTCACTTTTTCTTTAAACTTGTGTGCGACCTTTTCCTTGTCGAGGCACAGTAACTTCACCGAGTCCTGTTGTATCACCGTATCACCTGATACAACCACCACTTGTACTGTTTACACCTCAGTTTTGTGCAGATTGTACCAGAAGGGCTTATGTTAATTCGCTTTGGAGGTTTAGTTGCTTTTGGACAGAAGGAGGAATTCTGGTCTACGCTAGGCTAAGCTAAACGGCAGCTGGCTTTTCTAATTGCCATACATACATAAGCATGATGTCCGTATTCTCATCTAACTGTCAGAAAAAGGGTAATAATGCATTTCTCAATACGCCGTAGTATCGCTCTTTGGTGGCTGTTTTATTCTAATCGGGTCCCGTTCCAGTAATGTGCCTGCAGGTGCTACAGGAAGCCAGCCAACTTAGCAACTTCATGAATGCGACATCGCTCGCTGCGAAAATGAAGGAATTCCAACGTTTTGATTTTGGCTTTTCTATTCGGGTGTAGGGCAAACGGTCTGCTCCAACTGCCTGGTAGGATGAATGTAAAAAACGGTCTTTATCGTATAGTACACCGCGCTGAGAAGAAATTCATCTCACATTTCCAAACGAAGTCTGGTGGCTTGTGAGCACAACTTTGAGTGTCTTTTGTGCTAAATGAATGTGATGTTTTTTTCTTCTTTCAATTCAGACGCCTCAATGAGCCCAAATCAGTAAATGTGTTGAAGCGATTTCAAATGGAGACATAATCCCTTTTTAGGGGGAAAGAGTGAATAACATTGCCATAAGGAAAAAACAGATTTGACTTTGTGGTTTAAGGCAGAGCTAAGCTTTATAGTTCCGCCATTGAGACACCTGATAAAAGAAGCCGTGGCATGTCTCCGCTGAAGGCATTTAAGTCGACATGCTACCGCCCCACGCAGCTCTTGAACAGTAGCCCGAGGCATTTTTCCCCAAGAGACAATCGAGTCCCACTGAACTCGCGTTCATAGACCGCGTTCTCTGTGTGGCGGGAAACGCAAGAAGAAGCAGCAGATCGATGGAATACACGGCACCATGCGGGAGCCAATGTTCAGGAAGTTGAATTAAAAAGAGCAACACGGGAGACTGATTAAAAGTAACATGATAATTACATTAAATGACTCATTCCTAATGATTCCTTTAGCTGACGCTTTTATCCAAAGCGACTAAGCGAATGAAGTGCATTCAACCCTGAGGGTTCAGACCCAGATCCAGAATCCAGAAAGCATCATTTATGAAGTACAAAGCGTTCAAGTTACAGCCGGTAGAGGTGTGTTTTTAGTTTGCATCGGAATGCATAGACTTATACACTGTCCTCTTGCATTGGGGAGCTCTCGCACGTTGTTTCCTTTGAAATGTCCATAATATTAATACATATTCCTTAAACTAAACAGTTAACTGTGTAATAAAAATCCTTCGATGAATACGTTTAAAAGGAACCATGAGTTTGCGACCTTGATCTTGAATTGAACCTCTTTTTATGTCTCCACGCAGGCGACCGCCGTTGCCGAAGGCATTTTTGGGGGGTTGTCCGCTTGTTTCTCCCATTCTTATGAAACACAATATCCATATTGTGTTAAAACATCCTCCTGGACACGTCAACGGCAACTGACCCTGAGGAGGTCATTCTAGTTTTCCTTTTGTAATCCGGCAACAAAAAGAGCACCTACATCGAGTTCTCCCTTCCAGGATCGGTCCATTTCTCGTGATGTTTTTGATGAGTCACACATGGTCTCTAAAACGAACCATCTTTGTCTCGTCACAACGGATACAAAAGCTACCAGCCGCCCGTTGTTCTGTTGCTTTTCTCGTGACTCTCGTCTGCTTTTTGAAGCAAACGTGAAACGCGAATTGGCTCCGTGTCATCGCCATTAGCAGGTGAGCAGAGAGCTCACGAGGCAGCGGCACGAATCTGATGCTGAACAAAAGGCCGTTTTACGACAAGCGGCGTGGTGAAGCGGCCTCTTAGCCATTCACGATAATCACAATGGAAAGCTGTGAGTCATCGCGAGCGGCTGTGCTCCTGAGTGGTAACATCTGCACATGCATGAAGTGTTACACGTCGGCCAGACGCACACGGCGGTGCGAGCGCTGAGCCCTTGTGACACGCGCATCATGCGCGCTCATGCCGACAGCGTGGATTCGGTGAATTAACCTCGTGCTCTTTTGTCTCCCCTCGCTGCTTTCTGGGCAACCTTCTGCTGAGTACGACAAGACCTCGCTTTCAGAACGCGTGTGCTCTCTAGGGGGGGGGGGATGTTTTTTGTTTTTTCGAAAGCCCTCCGCTCTGCTGAGAACACGCTGGATGAAATGCGGTTTGGGATGGAGAAGCGTTACTGGAGCCACATTTCTGCTCTGCTACTTCATTTTAGGTGGGGTTGAGACTGTATTCTGAGGAGACTATTACCTTTGAAACCACATGTGAATATTTCTAATTTCTAAACAATGCAGAGAAGATCATTCAAAGTCAACTCACTGCTGTCTTGAGTCTCGTGGCTGTGAGAGTGGCAGTAATCAAAAGCCATCTATCTGACCGAATTAACATATTTATCTACTCACAGCGGCCCCTCATCCACCACTAAGCAGCTACTTCTACTGAAACTAGTGATTAAATCAAACATTAAAATTGATATAGGATTGTTATCACTTTTTAATAATCTGCAGTTTGAAACATATTTTACTTTTTTAATAGTGTGTTATTTTGTAATGCTTTATAAATCAGCTAACCAATTTGGGATAAAAAAACTTGAACTTCTGCATCAGGGTTTCAGACGTGCAGCAGCTTATAACAAGTTCTTCTCACCATTGTCTTGTAACTCATCTGTGAAGCTTTAGGAAATGATTAACTCATAATATTGCCAATCGTGGAGCAGAACTTGAACATTAACAGTTTCCCAGAGCGGCCTCTGTTCAATTTTTAAGCATGTGACCTGAAACAAGATAATTATTGACAGTTGATTAATGACAATCAGTTATGTGAAATATAGATATAAATTCTAATGAAATCTTAGAAAGTTATTTGTTGTGGCTCACAAATATGAATTATAGTGCAATTCGTTGGTAAAAGAACAAAAAGTGAATAACGCTGTAAAACTGATTTCCACATTTCAGTCTGAATAAGCTTTTTATCCCATAACTTACCGCCCGTGTTCGTTGTTCGTTGTTCTTACTTGTGCTGGTTGCTTCCCTAAAAATAGTCAGACGCTGAAGAGCCTTCCGGAGTTTCTGACTGTTCACATCTCTGATTATTAGTATGAATCTCCTCGTACCAAATGACGACTCCACCTTGATGGTGTATGAAGCTTAAGACATCAATCAGACGGGAACTGGCTTGTTTCTCACATAACAAAGTGAAAGTGAGCTGGAACGTTCATCTGTTTTTCTGCGGCAACCGTCCTGACAGCAGAAACAACATGGCGCCTTAAATGTTTGTAAAAACATTAAGCCTCGATGCAGGATTTGGAGAGAAGCGGAAGGCTTAAAATCACCCGAGACATCTCGTCATGGACAGAGAGTTCAATCCGATCGCTCGCTGCCACGTTTGTCCCCGTTGGGATCTGCAGGCAGTCAAAACCGTCTTGTTAAGTGTTGTGTACCTGTCAGGATTGAGCCTTGTTTTGGAAGATACAGCCGACGTGATTCATCAGGTGGAGGGAAAGGCTCTTGAAGAATGGAGAAGTGACAAACTCGATCCTTTCGAGAATAATGACGGCTGCCAGCCTGCTGAATGGATGGAGGGTCTTCCAGGATCTATCAAAGCCCCCTTTCCGTGGCTGGAAGGCCCACAGGTGTGACGAGAAGAGCCGTCAGGTATCTCACAAAAATGAAGACGTTCACATAGAAATGACTAGGGGAATTTCACCATTATATTTACTCCATCGATGGGGATCGGGGTTACTGCAACAAGAAATTAGGACACAACGAGAAACCGCTTGAGAAAAGAGCATCCAAATAGTTTAAACTTTAGTAATACTCCACTCTGTGGTAAAGAGGAAAACTGTACTTGAAATATAAGTAAACGCACTCATTATGCCGATTGGTCCCTGTCTGTATGTTCTTTTTTTGTATTTGTGTATTGATATCTTAGC